GATGGAAGACAAGACCTTTTTGTTCATGTGAGGGACGTACGATGGAAGACCTTTTTGTTCATGTGAGGGACGTTATTGGTGTCACATGATATCACATTTCTGCCATGGCAGGGATTCAAACCGGCAACCCTCAGATAACAGTCCTGAATGTATTGAATTGAATGTATAGCTGAGCGACTCTAAAGCCTTTGCTCGTGTGTTGTACTGGTGCCTTCCGTATGAAGAGTCTATGTTAAGCGCCGCCAAATGTGGAGCGATCACCCACTCAGTGCAGCATGTTCTGTTTTATGACACAGTGAGAGAGAGAGAGTAAGTAAAAATACACCCGGCTCCTCGGGAGACGGTCTCTATGGTAGCAGTTACTATGGTGATGGTGAGGCTGCACGTGAATTCACTGGAGGTGCAGCGAAAGAAGCAAAGTAACTATTCACACTGGTTTGTAAAGCTGAATGTCATCAGCAAATTATGGATACTTGTACTGTCAAGGGATGGGTCACGACCCCAAAGTTGGGTCGTATGGTTAAATTCTGAAGGTTGAAGGAAATACCATGTACATACAGTATATATATGTACACGTCAGTTCGAGGATTAAATGATCATGTCGAGTTCTGTTGGTGATCTGGATATAATCCTAATGTGAAGTTTCCTAATATGGCGTCGAGGGAGTTCTTAGACACGAGGATGTAAATGTCTCAGTGTGGTTCCCAGGTTCTCCTCTTTAATGTCATACTCATCGTACTAAATAATTAAAGTGTATTTTTGAGAGCTTGCACATGAACTGATGCCTTTGCAGAGTCGGTCTGCTCCGTCATGTTGTTTCCATAGCAGCAGTGAGAGCCAACACAGCCAACCACACTCACTTCCTTCTTTCACCTTATTGGTGCTGACCCGGGCTGACAGAACCAGGCTTTGTGTTTTTTTCAGTTTTGTTGTTGTTTGTTGTAGATTAAAGTCAATGTGACTGTAATACGTCTTTGTTCTGAAAGGCTTCGTACGTCAACTCTTGCTAAGATCCAGTGTGTGATGAGCGTTTTACAGAAGCCACCTATTTGTTCTGGTCCAATTTTGACAGCGTTTCTACCTGTCCTGTGACGTCTGTCTCTGTGCCGTCTCAACATCTACCCTCTGAGTTTTTCCCAGCCTGAGTCAGTTTCTGCGTCGTCTCGTGAAGGTGACTGCTCACGCTCGACTTTCATTGTTGCCCACGTAAACAGCCTCCTCACCGCTGCGTGTATTTATCAATGTCCCGGCTGCTTTTTCTGTCCCGCTTCATTCTGACGGGTAACATCAGCTCCAGTTTTCTTTACCTGCTTGTCACAAAAAAACCCAGTTATTTTTAGTCGGCTCTGTGCATATTTATGCTGCCACACTTGTAGACTGAGAGAATAAACCATCAGCTGCAGTGTGAATATCTAATAAAAGCCCATTTGTTCATTATTGTGGAGACTGAAGGCTGCGTGCTGCTGTCTATCCTATTGATTTTGAGCTGTTTGAAGGTGTTTTATTTTTTATGTGATCAGTGCAGACGCCCCAGAATTTGCTTTTTAATTATCAAGCGTGAGCTCACCTCACGTGAACTTGAAAAAAAAAGAAAAAAGTTTTGTGCCAAGTTGAACTTCACACACGGAGCATGAAAAAAAAAAACTGTTACGTTTGATTTTGCAGACACAGGATAGAACTGACTTTAATGAGTTCTGTTCAGTGTTTCTGGTGTATTTGGGGCACCAGACGGAGCCATCTGGCTCTTGGCAGTGATGTCAAGTAGTTGATTAGTGGATGAAACAAGTATTAAATCCATTCTCACACGCTGAGTGACCGTGTCATTTTTTGCCATTTAAATGCGATGGCACCCTCCCTCCGACGAGCACCATCTCTGTGACTGCTAACTGACGAAGGGGCTACGAACGAGGGCGGAGCAGGAGCTGACTCTAACCTGCTGTCAGGAGACTTGGATTATGTATCACATGTTATGCTGATGATGCAATGATCTACATTTCTTTAATTCAGTTGATTAAACATTAACATTGCATCATGTTCATTAATAGAAACATTTTTTTAGGAAAAAATGTTTAGCTAGCTGTTAATGCTAGGCTTTATAATTTAATTTTTTAAAAGTTAGCGAAGTAACCAATATAATTATGCAGCTTATATATTTTGAATTAAATGTGTTTATTGTCTATTTATAAAAAAAATATTTAAACCCTAAGATGTTTGAATTGAAATTTAAAAAAAAAAATTAAATCTCAGAATCTTAATTGAACGATTCCCCCCTTTTGCTGTAGTGCCCTCTGTTGGTCAAAGATCCTAATTTAAATCTCATATTTCATTTTATATTTACATTGAATGAAACAGATGAGTGTTTTTCTCATGTACCACAGATGTTATGAGCACTGACTATTTGGCACAGGGATAAACTGGCAACCTGTTGGGGGCGATGCCAGCTGGGCTGGGTTCCAGTTCACCCCATGTCTCCTTACGAGGATGACTGAATGAATGGACGAGTGTTGATGTAACATCTGGTGTCATCTATTACTTTTTGGAACCGTCTGCGTCCAAATTAGGACAAACAAAATCTCAGCCTCCGCCTTCCTCCATCAGTCAATGCTAACGGCTAATCAGTTTATGAGGCTAGGAGAAATATTTTCTCCAACATTGAATAAAATAAATACCAACTGCTAAGAAAGAAATCCTACATACACACACGTTAGTGTAGTGTAGAGTGTGTGTTTTTCTGGAAAAACTAATTGTAAAATCTCACAATCAGGCAAAAAGTTTGACAATACAAACTCACCTGTAGTGATGCTGCGCCCGTCTGATCTGACAGGTTCATATATTGTTATTATTTTTTACATGGACAAAATATAAAGAAATTTAAGCATTTTCACAAATCGAATTAAAATAATAAATCAGAGTTCTGTCCCTCCCATCATCAAACACCAACCCTGTTTGACTCTCAGTTCCTGACAGGGGGTTGGGAACCAGTGGTCCGAGGTGTGAGCGCCTTGAAAACCGCCGTGTCCACACATAACCAGGTTGAACGTAAATCTCACCTTGCCTCATTACACCCTCTCTGACCGTGACCGTGGATAAGGCCGTATTGATTCCAACGGCCCTGCCCGTTTAGATAAACAGTCCTGGAAGATCTGCAGTCTTTTTAAATCAGATTTCACAGAGGAGGCAACAAACCGCAGCAGATAACATAGTGTGCTCACAATAATGATGATCAAGTCCGTAGATCATCCAGATTCATCTGGTCTCACCCTGCAGCTGGACACGTCTCTGTGGACCTGATCTTGCCGTCCCTCCTTCCTGCTCTCTGAAACACTTGGCTTTTTTTTCTCATCTTCCTTTTGATTTTTGCCTCCCTCATTATACCAGCTCTTACCTCATCCTCACCCCTGTCCCTGAGCCCCCTGTCCACATCACAGCTGGAGTTCGTCCAGCTCCAGGCAAACCAGAGAGCGATCTGCCAAGGTTTCCTTTGTGTGAATTTTCTCCTTGATATTGTAACTGCTAGCTGGGCTTGGCTATGTCATTCAGCTGCTAGCTCTTCAAATAGAGCAGTGTAATGGAGAGATGAAGTGTTGGCAGACGGTTTGGGCTAATTAAATACAACCTGTCCAACAGACTTTACAAGGCTCTGGTTTTTGTGTGGGAGCGGTGGTTGGTGAGACTTGTGTATTAACATCTTTTTTTTTTTTTTTCTCTGGCTGAAAAGGTCAAAAGGAACAAGAAGGAAGATGTGTTTAATTATATTTAAAAAAATCACTTAGTCCCTAAATCAGATCATTTTCTGTCTGAAAAAAGGTTTCAAATATCAAATAAAGAACCTGTGAATTTTGGCCAAGTCTCAGTTAAGGCCCTTAAGGGGAAGAATTTTTGGGATTTTTTATTTTTATTTTTGTTTTTTATTTTATTTTTGCATTACACCTGCTGCCATTTTAGCTAGAACTATATTTCGACAAACACTGTAACAACGTAGATCTGAATGACCTTGACAACATGCATCTCCTGAAGCCTGTTATTGCTCTGCACGACCTCAACCCTGACCTCTGCTGGTGAGGCGAGGACACAGCTGTGAACGTTGAGTGTTAGCTCCAGGGATGCTACTGTGTATGAATGAGGATGCTGTAATCTGAGAGCAAAAAACACACCGTGACCACTATGTGGCGCTGTGGAAGTGGCTCTGCCTTTGTGTTATAACTGTGATAAAGTCTTTAGGGTATCCACTGGTAGATGCCCCCCCACCCCCTCTGCTTTATAGGAAGACCACAGACCTGAATCCAAAAATGACATCTTGAGCCAAACCTGTTGAAGCTCTTAGTTCTTGGTCATTGTTTCCCACGAAAATTAAAGAACATTTTCAGAAAACTGGAGTTTGGTCTTGTGACGTGGTGAAGGAGGAGGTTGTGACCTGGTGTGAAATAGATCTCCCATGATTCTAAATGGAAGGAATTATCTGTAGTCACTAAGTCCATACATTTTCCTCCTGTTTCTTTTAAAGAAAACTATGGATTAAATTCACAGTTTGCTCTGAGGCTTGTCTTCTGTGGGCCGGGACGTCAGTCAGTGCCAGTGCTGTTTGACGAATCATCGATCCGCCGTATTGATAAACGGAGAAGATAGATTAGTGTCAGTCTAATACGTTTCATTCCTGTATTGATTCACACTTCAGTAGCAGTGAATTCTGTTCGCATTAACCATGCAGCTCACACGGGCCTTATGAAAAATGTACAGCAGAAAAACCACACGCATGAATTTTAATGGCTGTTTCAAAGACACGCTCTGAACCCGGAACAAACCGCTTCAGATCCTGTTTGTTATCAAACTGACAAACACTACATTTACATGTTAATGTTAACAAACGGCTGCCGTCTGGGTTTATTAATCTGAATTAATAATGGAAAATAAATCGACGTGGTCAGTAATGAGTTGGAAAAAAAATCCCTTTGGAATTCTACATCTACATCGCTCTCTTCTATCTCTTCTTGCCTCCACAGTGCAGTGTCTGGAAATGACCACTAAACGGAAGCTGATTGGCCGGCTGGTGCCGTGCCGTTGTTTCCGTGGCGAAGAGGAGGTGATCTCGGTGTTGGACTACTCCCACTGCAGCCTGCAGCAGGTTCCCAAAGAAATCTTCAGTTTCGAGAGGACTCTGGAGGAGCTTTACCTCGACGCCAACCAGATAGAGGAGCTACCCAAGGTACTGCAGCCACAGAAGCTCTGCTAACATACTGCTAGATGTTCAAGAACAGAGATGACAAGTGGGAGTGTGAGCCTGTAGAGATGCCAGCTGGGAGTTGGTTCCACTTCAAGAGATGAGCTCTTTACAAGGACTTCAATATGCAGTATTTCAAGTATCTACGTGGTATCTGAACATGTACATTCTATCATATATTCTGTCTCATTTTATCATACTATTATGTCTATCGCAATTATCCGTGATCAATATTAGTCTGCACTAATTGAAACAAAATTACTTCCCTTTTCTGGGACTTCCCAGAAAAAAAGTCAATTGGAAAATCAACAAGTAGCCTAAGGGTAAATGTGCAAGGAAAATAACTTAATTTTCCTTAACTTAAATAATTACCCAAAAACCCCTTTGGCAGCGTCAAACAACAGGCAGTTCCACTGGCTCAACTAATTGTCCAAGTCAACCTGGATGTAATTCAACGTATAGTTTACATTTTCTAATGTGTTTTACGCTGAACGTTGTGTCAACTTACGTTTGCGTTGTTATGAAAAGTTTGCTGTGGATATTTTTGTTATTGATATAAAATAACTCGATAACCTAAAAGCCAAATCACAGTTCACGGTTCCTCAGTTGATTAAAATCCTGTCCCAGTTTAATTGACAGAGAGGGTGGATTGGATTTTCTAAATATAACCTGGGAGAGAGCAGACACTCTGATTGGTTGGTGTCAGTGACAGATCCAACTCTCACTCAACAGTAAACTCTGATATGAAGCTCTGACATTATGTTGGTAGACGTGTCTGTGTCAGGGATCTCACGGGACCTGAAAAGAGAGAATTCCCAACTTCATGTGTTTATTTTTGTCATTCTTCATTAAGGGATGTTGAAGAAGCTTATTATTATTATTATTATTATCATTATAAACGATTCTGTATACATATAGACATAAGGTTATTGTGTTAACACCTGAACGTCATGTTGTTCTGTATTTATTACTGACTTTTCACCTGTCGTTTCTGACCTTGTTTTTCCACAGCAACTGTTCAACTGCCAGGCCTTGAAGAAACTGAGCATGCCTGATAATGACCTGTCCAACCTGCCCACCACCATCGCCAGCCTGGTCAACCTCAAGGAACTGGACATCAGTAAAAATGGTAGAATGATCGAGTGAAAGTGGACCATTCCAGATTTACTGACCTACGAATATATTAATTAATTGATCTCCTGTGGAACGCGTTAAATAATGACTTCTCTACGTTTGCTTGGATCACCTCTGTTCTTCTTCTATCACAGGGATCCAGGAATTTCCAGACAACATCAAATGCTGTAAAGGTCTTTCAGTGGTGGAGGCCAGTGTCAACCCTATAACCAAGTAAGACCCCAGGGCTCAGGTGAAACACTCGTAGAGCTAAATGTTTTCTTCACATTAATGCTCTCCACAGTCCAAAGACCCTCTGGATTTGCGCTCATTAAAATTATATTTCTACATAAAACAGTAGGGAATGAGCGTTGAGGCCTTCACCTACACAGACTATAATGATCTCTGCCTTTGTCTCCGTCTTTAAGAGACGATGTAAAACCAGGGCTGCAACAAAATGCTGTCGTTTGACTTCCTTCCACCGTGAGAACAATAACGGAGCAGGTGTTCTGTTGTTCTCTTATTGGCAGAGAAATGTCCATGAAGCATAACTGGACACAGAAGTGTGTGTGTGTGTGTGTGTGGTCAGAGAGAGAGAGAGAGAGAGCAGGACAGATGAGTCATCCGTGGTCTAGCACTTTCTGCAGGGCTCGTTTAAGAAAGATTGTCCATGTTTTATTCCACTGAGGCTGTTCAAGGACACACTCTCTCTCTCTCTCTCTCTCTCCCCCCCTCCCCCCCCCCCCCCCCCCCCCCCCCCCACTGTCCTCCCTCCAGACTCCCAGATGGTTTCACGCAGCTCCTGAATCTGACCCAGCTCTTCTTAAATGATGCCTTCCTGGAGAGTCTGCCTTCCAACTTTGGCAGGTAAACTCATGCCTGGACTCAGGTGTTTGAAGGGACAGTTGCATGAAAAAGTTGTCATTTCTCTATATTTCTTTCTTCGTTTTTTGAGTTGTCTTCTGTTTATTCTCCTGTAGCATTTGTTTTTCTTTCCACAGAGAGAATTCAAACAGTGACGTTAACTCTGGGTTCGTTCTGTCTTCTGTTATTCAGGCTGTCCAAACTACGGATCCTGGAGCTGAGAGAGAACCACCTGAAAACCATGCCAAAGTAAGAGCAGGCAGCGTGAGGTTCAGGCTGGGCGTGAAGATAAATACATGGGAAATAAAAAAAACTATCATTTCTTGAAACTGAAAACACACACAGACCGAGACAGACACTTGTGTCTTGTGACGGTAAATGAATCCCATTTTTCCCGAGCAGGTGTTGGTAAATACTGATGGAGTGTTCTGAGGTTTACTTCTGTCTTTTCTGATTTTTCTTTGATTTCACTAAATCAAACAAACACCTGTGTTTTTTCCCAGGTCCATCCACAGACTGACACAGTTGGAGAGGTTGGATCTGGGTAGCAATGAATTTTCCGAAATGGTGAGAATTTTTTTTTTAACAATTTCTCTATGTAAAAAAATCAAACCAATAACATTCAAGTGGAATGGAGTTCATGTGTCGGTTGGAATTAACTAAACTAGTCATATAAAAAAATCAATTCAATGATTTTATTTGTATTTATATATATATATATATATATATATATATATCTGATGCTGTAATTTTATTCTTTCTCGTCTGTTCTTGCATGTTAGCCAGAGGTGTTGGAACAAATCCATAATTTAAAAGAGCTGTGGTTGGATAACAACTCTCTACAGTCGATACCTGGGGTAAGAACACTCACAGCTTTGACGGTGACAGAAAACAGCACAGGAAATATTGAGATGTCACTTCCTCTTACATATGTTTTACTCCTCTGTTTGTCATTTGATTCTGCTTTCATCTTCTCAACTCCCCGTCGCCCCCTGCAGTCGATAGGAAAGCTGCGTCAGTTGCGGTATCTGGACTTGGCCAAGAACCGTATCGAGACGTTGGACACGGATATCTCTGGCTGTGAGGCCTTAGAAGACCTGCTGCTGTCCTCCAACATGCTGCAGCACCTCCCTGACACAATAGGTAAACAACACAATAACAGACGCGGCCTGATGATGAAGATGATGAAGATCTTCAGAGATGGTTCAGGTCTCGTTTCTTTTACAAAAGGTAGTGGTAGATTTGTGGAGCTGCCGAGCTCGCCGCTCTTCAGTAAATGATGTTCACACAGGGAAACATGTGGCGTTGTTCCAGGCTGTTATCAGGGTCGCTGATTAAGATGCAAGGAAACAATTACGGCAGCAGGGCGGCGAGTGTGGGAGTGAATTTTAAGTTTTCCTGCGAACGGTGGATTAGACTTTATCACCTTATCTAGATTTATATCAGGAGGCATTGTGTGTGTGTGTGTGTGTGTATGTGTGTGTGTTTTAAAGCGAATCATTAATAATTGATATACATTTCTCTGTTTAGACACGTAGCCAATCAGGCAGAGGAACAACGGACCTTCACTTGCAAAAAATTTGAAAAAAGAAAATCATAAAACATGATGGCGGCGTCTCCTAAAACAAATTTATGGGCAAAGCATGAAAATGTTTTCAACACATTTATGGTATACTATAAAGTTGAACAAGTCAATCCCCTGTTCTCTAGGTGGTTGTAGTAGTTGGATAGTGCCTCCGGTGGCAGCCTTTGTCAGTTGCACAGACTCACGCTGTGAATTTCCCCGTTGTGGGACGAATAACGACTCAATTATTATTATTATTATTAATGAATTAATCATTAAATATACATGAGTGTCTCTATCTGCTGTCTCTGTTTGTATCTTTCTTTTTGGGGAATAATGCGTGTGTGAAGGATTTGTCAGAAAAGAAGGAATTCCTCACTTCATGTGTTTATTTCTGTCTTTTTTTCATGAAGGGATGTTGAAGAAGCTGACAACTCTTAAAGTAGATGACAACCAGCTGACCTCACTGCCTAACACCATTGGGAGGTATGACAGCACACACACACATACACACACTCACCTATCTTTTTCGGTGCGTTGTTGTTTTGGTTTGACTGTGTTGTTGTGTAATATTGCGAGTCACTGTGTGCTAACACTGGCTGATGATTGGGCGATTCTGTCTGTTGCATTTGCTGCATCGCCGTGCCATTAGCCCGAAGCCCAAGCAGGGGTGAGTAACGTTAGAGTCCTGGATCCAGGGGTGAGTTCAGAGACAGACGGATGTTCGAGTGCATCGCAAATTTGATACATTTGAATATTTTTTATCCTCACACACACATCGATGTTTCCTGGGATTTAAAGTTATTAAAATCCTTAGAATCGCTGGTTACGTTTACTTGAATGTTGTTGAGGATTAGGTCACGTAGTGTGGTGGCCTTTCAGCCTGAACAAAATGCTCTCAGTTAATTTACAGTTTGAGGCTTAAAGAGTCTACAATTCTATAATTGGGTTCAAACATGAAAAAATGACTTTTTTGCAATGCACTTGTTGTAAAAACTAAAACTAAAATCATTTTGTCGTCCTGAACAAGTCCCAGGGTTCGGGCTAAATAAGTAGAACTGTAGGTACAGTTGACCTCTGTTTGTATCAGAGTGTTTTTTTATCACCTTCACTAAGTTCAAGTGTTTATTTTATTTATTTTGTTCTTTTATTTTACCTTTTGTGTTTTTTTTATTTTACCTCGTTTCTGTCCTCTCTCTGCCTCTCCTCGCTCCTTTTCTCCTCCTTTCCCCTCTCAACACCTGTCCTCTTCTCTCTCCTCCTTTGCTCCCCTCTCCTCCCCTCTCCTGCCCCCCTCCTCCCCCTGTGTGCTGTATATGCAGAGCAGACTCTTTAATCCTCTGAGAATAGCGGCGACAGACTAATGCAGTGTTAAAAGTGACAGAACATTAATGTAGAATTGTTGTCTCGTTAGCATCGGTCGGCTGTTAGCTTGCTGCCTGGTCAGTGGTGGCAGTTTGGGTCGGGGGTGATGGGGCTGGGGGAGTTGACGGGCGTCCTGTTGACTTTACTGTGAATCCTAACGAGCATGAGAAGAGGAGGAGTAGAAGGAGGAGGAGTGGGGATCCAGTTAGAGGGAAGGAGGTTTTAATGAAGGAGTTTTAACTAGGGTTTGGATTTTTTTTTTTTTTTTTTTTTTTTGCCTCAGTCATAACTTATTTGTTCACATGTTGATTTTCTGTGCGACCAGATTTTTTAATCCTAACCACTGAATTTTAAACAATAATAAAAACGTTGAACTTTATTTGATATAATTTGAATAGATAAAAATAGAAAGTTACATAAAAATTAAAACACATTTCCTGCAGCCATGAGCCCATTTCCTGCAGAGATGTGGAATGGACTAAAATAAACTGCTTACATGAGACCGTCTTCATGTAAATGAAATTTGCATAAAACTCTGTGCAACGATGTGGCTGCCTGACTTTTTTTTTAAATCATTTTTTTTGGAAAACGATGCGTCCCTATGGTAAAGAGGATTAAAATAAATCAGACTCTGGCTCCAGAAGCATTGACTCATCCTTGGTTTGGGTCTTATCAGAGGATTTGTTCACAGTAAGAACCTCCTGATTAGCTCAACCCCTGCTTTTTTGCAGCTTAGACATGATTTACTGTTTCGTTTTTCTTCTTCTTCTTCTTCATTTTCCACCCAGTCTGTCTCTGTTGGAGGAGTTGGACTGTAGTTGTAATGAGTTGGAGTCGCTGCCTCCCACCATCGGTTACCTGCACAGCCTGAGGACCTTCGCTGCTGACGAGAACTTCCTCAGCGAACTGCCTCGGGAGGTAAATAATCATCAGAACAAAATCAGACTCCTGGTCTTATTTTAGCCCATACGAAGCAGTTAGCTCTGCTCAGGTTAGGAGCTGAACCCTGGGTTCAAACCGATTCTTCCTTTAATATTCAGACGACAGAGGTTTAAATAAGGAGGAAAATGAGATCGTGATTCATTTTAACACAACATATTTAATGGCTGACTGGCTCCCATTTTGAAGCAGCTAATCTCAGCCCTGAGCAACTACCTTGTAATGAGGGTTTGGTTATTGTTTTGTTCTCTTTTTTTTGTTTGTTTTTTTTAGATCGGTAACTGCAAGAACGTGACCGTCATGTCGCTGCGCTCCAACAAACTGGAGTTCCTTCCTGATGAGATTGGACAGATGACCAAACTTAGAGTCCTCAACCTCAGTGACAACAGGTGGACTTACACACACACACACACACACACACGTGTTTTCCTCCATTAGCACGATTGGATTTCAAAATTCAGCAATTACATAAATGGGCTTAGAAAAGTACCAACAACTGCTGCACTCGCTCTCTCGCTCGCTCTCTCTCTCTCTCTCTCTCTCACACACACACATGCAAGCATAAATTAGAACTCCAATTTAGCACCAGGTGATTCTAATCATGTTTATTCCCCATTAGCAGTGTTAGTTTGCAAAAGTCAGTAATGGCACAAATGGTTCTTATTTTTTAACGTGTCAACAGACAAGAACTTCACGCACACACGTTCAGTGAACACACACAGACACACACACCTCTAAAGACACTAATTAAGGATCATCTGATTAAAATCATGTTTATTCCCCATTAGCACTGCTAGCTTTCCAAATTTAGGAATGGCATAGATGGGCTGAGCAACAATAAGTAATGAGTAGCACACATACACACACACACACACACACACACACACAGAGGCAACAGTTCCTCTGTGGCTGTATCTGGTTGGCAGCTGCTCCTATACCCCACAGTTTCCATGGGAACAGATGGGTGTGTTTCCATGGTTACACTATCTGCAGGCTGTACAGTGTGTGGGCAGGAGAAAAAAAGTCAATTTTTTCCCCCAATTTCTGACAGTTTCTAAATCTCTCTCTCTCTCTCTCTCTCTCTCTCTGTCTCTCTCTCAGGTTAAAGAATTTACCTTTCACCTTCACGAAGCTAAAGGACCTGGCAGCTCTGTGGCTTTCTGACAATCAGGTACTGTCTCCCACTGTCGTGGTGTTTCACTCACATCTAAACTGAGTAGAAACCAACCTTTAATCATTCCTGTCATTCTATGATTGATGCGATGAGATTGGAGTCAACATCTCATTAGCGACAATGTCTTGGACCAACGTTTGGAAGATGTGATTAGAAAGTTCTAGTGCTCTCTCAACAAATCCCAAGTACGCCATGAGAATTCTGATGAAGTCCATGTGTCTCCGTGTTTGCAGTCCAAGGCTCTGATCCCACTGCAGACAGAAGCTCACCCAGAGACCAAACAGAAGGTGTTGACCAACTACATGTTTCCGCAGCAACCCAGACATGACGAGGGTACGAACTGTGTGTCTCTCTGCTCGTGCTGTCCAGTAGTTGTGTCTTTATGTCTTAAAGGACCAGTGTGCTTCCTGCTCTGGAGTAAAGCCTTGGGAAATATTCTGTCTGAGTTCAACCAACATTAAAACACAGCAGCCCAGGTGCTGGGTCCACATGGTTCACGTTAGCCCAGGGCAGTGACTGCGGGGCTGCTTTAAACTCAAACTTCTTTTCTTGTATCTCCGCCTCTTTGCCAACGCAGTTTCCTTTTCTTAAAAAGTTACATTTTTCCTTTATTTCTCCCCACAAGAGGGAGCCAGAGTATGACCTGTTGGGCACATACCACAACTTGAGAAACTCTAAACCCATTGCTGCTTGTGTTTGTGCAGATTACCAGTCGGACAGCGACAGCTTCAACCCTACTCTGTGGGAGGAGCAGAGACAGCAGAGAATGACTGTGGCCTTTGACTTTGAGGACAAGAAAGAAGAGGAGGACACTTCTGGGAAGGTCAAGGTCTGCCTTCGCTGGCTCTGTCTCTGTCTCTCTCTTTTTCCTTCTTTAAGTGTCTCTCACTCTCATTCTTTCTCTATACCATTGGTCTGTAACCTTTGGCTTCTTAGCATCTTTGGTTTGACTCCCTGAAAAATCAAATCAAGTTTAAACCAATCTCACTACATTTTCGACTTGCTTGCTTACACAGAGATAACACATTAATCGTCCTCTTTGGTTGAATGTCAGCAGACCCCTGCTCTACACCTCCTACTAGATGTACCTGTCTCCATCCTTGCAGGTGGAGATCAATCTGAAGCGATACCCAACGCCCTATCCAGAGGACCTGAAAAACATGGTCAAGTCGGTGCAAAGCCTTGTGGGTAAGAGCGTCCACGCAGGGCACCCGCACCAGCACCAACACCAACACCAACACCAACACCAACTCCAACACCAACTCCAACACCAACACCAACACCAACACCAGCACCAGCATCAACTTCAGCATCAGCATCAACATCAGCATCAACATCAGCATCAGCATCAGCATCAGCTCCAGCTGAGCCAAGGCACTGCCACCTCAGCAGGGACCAACATGGAACACTCGCACCTCAGCAAAGAACCCTATGAACCACCATGGCCGCTTCCACCTAAGGAGGTGAGAAACACACATTATTTCATAATAATTAGTTGAAGACATGCAAGGATTTTTTTTTTTTTACTTTCATGGTCGAAAGTCTCAGGTTAAGGATGTAAAAGTGACCACATTATTCTCTTTCTCTGCACAGCTGATGCAACCACCAACAGACAGGGAGATGCAGGACTTCTCTCAGTCTCAGCTCATGGATCAGGGATCAATGCATAACTCTGGGATCGATATTCCCAAAAGGAAAGACAAGGAAGATTTGACTGAGAGTTCAGAGGTTCGACTGTCACACACAAACACAAAAACATTATCAAACCTCACGTTGTGATTTTGATTATTTTCACCCTTCACAATTTGAAACACTAGCCCTAGTGGCCAACTAGTAGCAAAATACTTCAGTTTGAACAGAGAACATATGACCTTATTGATAACTTTTTCCAACTGTTTTTTAATGCTGCCTATTTTGTCAGATATGATCTTATTTAGAGGAAAACTGCAGATAAATCACTTATAATAGTCCTGATTGGTTCACTTACCTTGAAGAATTCAGAGGCTCCATTCATTTCTTTTACAGTATATGGTTCACAGCTCTGAACCCATCTGTCTGTTTGACTGCTCTCTGTCAGCAGGACTCCATGGGTGGTTCGCCCAACGACATTCGTATCTCTGATATGAGGCCCACTCTGGTGGAGCCCCCTATGTACAAACCAAAGGTGGTGCTGCTGGGAAAGGACAAGAAAGGTACACACACACATACACAAATCTGTGTGTGTGTGTGTTTGACACAGGCATCACAGTTTGCACAAATGCAATTAGTGTAGTCTATTCTAAGGCACCGTGGGCCATGTTTTAGTGGAGAAAATTATTAAGTGGTAAGTAGTTTTTTTACCACATAACACAGAAACAAAGTCATTCCATGTTCCTTTACATCAACAAACTGTTTTTTAACGTAACGTTTTTCAAAGTGACAAATCTGTGTTTAATTTGTTTCTTTATTTATATTTTATAACCTTATGATCTGTGCAGCAGACTGTATTTTATCTGTAGATCTTTCCAGAATGTTTGTTACAGAAACATTTGTACAAAAACGTTGTTTCTTTGCAAAACAAATTAAAAATTACAAACCATGTGGGCCATTAAATGCATCAATGGCTACAAAAAAAATTATCAAATATTTGTACTAGTAAGACAGAAGTACTGATACAGTAAATATTGCATTTATGTGACGAGTGTTGAAATGAGCCCTGCAGGTCATGGGCCTGTGTGTTATTGTTATTTCATTGTTATTTCCAGAGGGACAGATACTGAAGAAATGTGTGTGTAATGTGTGAGACATTTAGAAGGAAGAGTGTGTGACATTTGGATCTCTGTCTCTCTCTGTCTTTCTGCTCCCAGAATCGACAGATGAGGAGATGGACAAGCTCCACTGTCTGAACCACAGCGGCTCCTCAGCCACCTACTCCGACTACTCCCCCTCCCAGGGCTCCTCGGGTTCCTCCAACCCTCCCACCAATACACACTCACACACACACTCCCATGCTCTCCCACACCCACATCCTCCTGCGATGCCCACCCCCAGCAAGGACCAGGCTCCTCAGACACACTGGACCAACAGGTCAACACACACACACACACACACACACAGTGCCATCACTGTTCCTCCATTTATTTATCCATCATTTTCCCCTCCTTATCAATCTGTCCACCGTCTCCTCCGTTCATCATCGGTCCAGTCTCTCCATCCATCCATCTTCTGCCTCCCATAATTCCTCATTTTTCCACTCATTTCATCAAGGTCAGAGCGCCTCATTAGGATTCTGCAGGTTTCCATCCAGTTTTTCATGTCTGTTCTCCCTTGTTATTCATATCTTTCAATTTAGGAAAATTAATTGCAAAACTTGCCGTGAAACTGATTGGAGCATTTGTTTTGATTACTTTGAGGGATAACTGAGATTTTGATATCACAGCTAGACGTGCGGCGTTTACTTTTACTTTTTTTTTTTTGCTTTTTAAAAAGTCAAAACTAATCAAATCTCACATCCATCCGTGTTCTTTGTATTAGGTTTAAAGGCGTGACGTGTGTGTCAAGTCTTTTGACGATAATGTGGACATGTGAGAAACGAGGGTTGGCGATGTGATCTGTGCATCGCTGCGTCTGTGGAGCTGTCACTTTGTCTGTGTTCTTGTGAATTACGTGTTATTTGCAATCAGCAGGCAGGAGGGAGGCAGAGTGAAGGCACAGACTCACTGCTGTAGTTACTACCACATGGTCTGTGGCCAATTTATGATTCAGAGAAACAAAGAGAGAAAGCGCGTCAGATTCCAAAGTCTCTTGGCACAAATTAAAAAATATTGCTTTTATGTCATCATCAAAAAGACATCACAACATTAGGATTTATTATCATTTATTTTATATCTCCAATTTTCTACAATAATAATGTTTGACCTTTGCTGCCCATCGTAGATTGGCCCAGTCGTTCCCAAAGCCCATCGACTCCAAGCCCCTGCTGTCCCAGAGAGAAACCCCTCCATCCGGAACTCTGCAGCAGCGTGGGGACCGACGCCCGCTCAGCGAGCCGTTTGATTGGGCTGAGGCTCCTCACTATGACAACACGGGTTTCGATGCAGAGGAATCCCCTCTGGACCCTCCGTCGTCCAACACAAGTCAGGGAAATCCACCGCTGGGCTCCAAACCCCGCAGCCAATCCACACACGGTCGCCGCCCACTCCTCAGGCAAGAGCGAATCGTAGGAGTCCCTCTGGAGCTGGACACGCAGACGCTTCCCTTTCACACCAACCAGCGCTCCACTCCTGACAATGATCAACAGTCCTCCGGAGCTTCTCAGAATCCTTGGCAGAACTGGACCAGAACTCCCAGCCCACTGGAGGACAGAACCGCTTTTCCCTCCAAACTGGACCTGACGCCCTCCTCCAGCCCCAACCCTGACCGCAAGGAAATGGACTCAAGGTAAATCATGGAGCTACAACTGTCTCTATAGTGGTGTCAAAAAATGTCCTTACTAGACCACCACAACCTCAGCAACAAGCTTTATCTGCATTGTTCAATTCTCACCTTTTGTGTTACCAAAGGACTTGTTGTCATGGGGAAATTAGTTAGTTTATCTCTAACTTATCTAACTCTGTTTTTTTGCTCCAGGCGTGAACAGGGGGCGGGGCCTCTGCCCGGCAGCTGGACATATCACAACAATCAGGGGGAACAGAACAGGAAGGATCAGCTCACTGTCAGTGGAGGCAACAAGGTGACCGTGGTCATGAGCAAAAGCTCAGACCGACTTTCCCCCATGATCAAGGAGACCAGGTCCAAGTTCAAGAAGTCCCAGAGCATCGATGAGATCGACATAGGCTCCTACAAGGTCTACAGGTTGGCTGACTGTGACGGTCCTTTTACCTTCAGGTTGAATTCAATCAAATCTTTCATGAAAACCGATCTGTTTTTCTTCCTGTCCTCTTGCCAGTATTCCCGTGGACAGCTACAGTTCCATCGAGCAGCAGACCAGTTTGGACCGCTCAGAGCTGCCCAGTTCACTGGAGCAGACCAGCATGGCTCGGTCGCAGTCCGCTCCCATGTTAGACGACGAGCTGGGCTTCCCGGGACATGGAGTCATCAACCAGAATCAGTCTGGACCGAACCAAAAACCGGCCATCCCGCAGAAGGCCTACCACTTTGATCAGAACTACAATCCACAAGTTAGTTACAGAACTACAGATAGAAAATAAAAAGTGTTTTCAGTTTCAGTGTTTTAAGTCCACTGTCCTTTGCAGGTTACCATGGACCGCCGGGTCCCTCCCCCCTTCCCCAACACACCAGATTATGTCAACCACACGCCCAAAGCTCTGGAATACATAAATCAGCCCGGGAAGACATTGCCCAAAGAGTTGGTGAGCCCTCGCTACAGAGCGTACCCCCCTCTGGAGATGTTCTCTTTCCCCCAAGCACCCATCAACACGGATGGGCTGGCCAGTCAGCAGCAGCAGCAACAGCAGCAGCCAATCCCATCACAGCGCTCCAGGCCAGGGTTTCTGAGGAGAGCAGATTCTTTGGTGAGCTCCACAGAGCTCGCCTTGTTCCGCAGAGTCCATGAAGCCCAGCAGGAGGCGCTACAGGAGGCTCAGTACAGACAGCAGGTAGGTGATGCTAGTGATGAGTTTAAAATATATTTACCTGCAGCCTGTGACCTAATGTGTATTTGTGACAGTCATCATAATGTAAGCGTGGTATAAATATAAGGATCGTGGCCCATATTGAGCCACTCAAAAGGTTGAATTATTTTTCTTGGTCCTCAGTCAATATTAATAATTCAGTTAAACCTGTGCAAATGCAAATTAAAAGTAGTGAAACCAGAGCTGAAGTATAGCTAATGGTGCCTTTACTGTCCTAGGAAAGAATGTTTGGGTTTAATCATTTTTGTTGATATAAATGACTTACTAAAAAAAGCTGAGTTTAAAAAACTAAAAAATAGTTTAAAAAATATTATTTTTCGTACAGTGATGGAATGTTTTTTGCAGGGAGACCCTCCTCTTTATGGCCGAGCCCTGGCCTATTCCACTGCCATGGAGCACGCCGCTCTGAGCAACATGGCCGACAGCCAAAGTCAAATGCTGCACAACAAGAGAAACGGACGCTATGACGACGACTATGCAGCGTACCAGGAACAGAAAAAGTCCATGAGTGGTTATCCAACCAAAAGTTTGACTCAGCGACGCCCCCTGTCTGCTAGAAGCTACAGCACTGAGACCTACGGAGCATCTCAGGTACATTGACCTGTTTGGTATTTTGTTTTCAGGGAAAAGGTTAAACACAGCGGTCCACTGAAACTTCTGTTAAAGCTGCCTTAAAAAGGTCGAACTTCAGTTATTTGTATGAAGTTTGTCGCAGAAAATAAAATGTCAGTCATGGTCCATTGTGATGCTAGACAAAGGGAAAGCTGAATTTTAATAAAGGGTGAGTGTCATAAATTAAAATTACAGTATGTAACTTGACTAATTGCATAGAATGAGGTTTTGCAGGTGTAAGCATTAATCAGTGTGTCTTTCCCTTTAGCTTTAGCACAGATGGAAGGCGATCCCGAGCACATCAATAAATCCTTCTGGGTGTACTAACTTGGCTGCGAGTTGGGCTTTTCCCAAAATAGCTTTAGTGACTCGCATTCTGATTAGATGAGGCCAGCAATTTATCTGGAACACTTAAGAAGCTTAGAGTCACAAAGTTCCTACTAATCATTTTACACAAAACATCGAAACAGAAGGTTGGGTAAGGTTAGGGTTTTAGCTAACATTAAATCCTACATCTAACAAATTCCTGGACTCTATTTTCTATGATGAAACCAAATACTAAAGACTAAATTAAAAACACGACAAAGGCTGAGATGCTGACGCAGTGACTGACCCCTGGTGGAGATGGGAGGGGTAAAAACAGTTGATGAGTCGTTATCTCGGGTCTCCAGGCCCGTCCTGTTTCAGCTCGTCCCACTATGGCCGCCCTGCTGGAGAAAATGCCCCCCGACTACACACTGGCGACTTGTCCAGAGAAATCACCTGAAGACACGATCAAAGTCAGACCTGTAGTTCCACAGAAACCTGAAGATATCACCTCCAAGATGCCCGCAGACTGGAGGCAGCAGCTGCTCAGACACATAGAAGCCAAACGACTGGACCGGGTGAGTCTGAGCAGTGTAGCCTCAGTCTGTTGGTCTACACACACACACACACACAGGGTTGTTTACCTGTAGTCTGTGTTGTTAGATCAATGGGACTTGTGTTTCATGTGTATCTCCTTCACACTCGTGGTCCATCAGCCTGACCTTCAGAACACTCGCTACTTCATCCACATCATGTGTGGAACAAGATCTGAGGCACATGAAAATGTCTAACCTTTTTAAAAAAAAATGTATATACTGTAAAATTAAACATTAGTCACTTAATATTGCCTACTAAAAAGCTCAATCATTTTGGGATGTAAACTTGTTCAGCGACTCTTGTTTGGTATCAGATGAAACACGGGCTAGCACAAGTCTCGAGTGGCTAAATATAAAACTACAGAAAGTAGGTCATATGATTGAACAAACTCAGCAAAAAATATATTGCTGGTACCTTTACATCTCGCTAATTAGCATAGTGGCTAATTTTAAGTCAGGTGTATTTACTCTGTGGAGCTTTGGCCCCAAAAAAAGGTAAAGTCAGAGGAAACCACACGGGCTGTTAAAGCTACAGTAAGGTGGATTTCTTTGCTCACGAAGGCAATAAAAGGTATAAAAATGAACTTTAATTAATGAATTTAATTTTAATGAACTTTACACTATTTAACTTTTACTTTTGTTGCTTAAAACAAGTAATACACACCAGTCATATTAGTGTTGTAAATTTTTAGTCGATGTTTCTCTACATTTTTATTCAATTTTTGTCCTTACATTTGTTTGTCAGAGTGATTTTATCACAGGAGTTAAGATAAAACAAGCTCTCGTTCTTTAATCACAGCGAGTGCTTCAACAGAAGCCGAGCCTCAGACAGATGGGGAGTATGTGGGGGGGCCGCCGCAGCTCCGCTGGTAGGAAGTTTGTCCTTCATGCAGCCTGCCTGCATTTCGATCCAGCTGTGTGCAGATGTGTCCCTGGACCAGTTGGACCCTCATTTCCTGCCCCATAGTGATGCTTTCAGGGACAAATTACAGAGTAGGGTCGCATTCAGAGTAATTATACGCACACTCGCTGTGGTGGGAAAAAAAAGAAAAAGTGTGGGAAATGAAAGTGAATTTATTCTCTGTTTCAGTCGTATTGGTCTATTAAATCTAAATCTATTAGTACAAATCAAATTATTCATTTAAAATGCTTTAGATTGGTCCTATTGGGCAAAATACCATTTTGTCACAGTATAAAAATGAACCCTGTGAAGCCCGAACAATGAAAAAAAAAACAGAAAATTCAAGAAATTCTAAACCTGAGATGTTTACTCAACATAACAAAATAAAAATAGTTTTATTCATGAGATATTTTTTTGTACATCATATATGCAGCATTTGTTTATAACCCTAACTAATCCACAAGGGGGCAGAATACATTCATATCAAATCAGTGATAAATTTGATGGTGTTTTTTCCCAGGATCCACCTGTGTAACATTACCACATGCACCTACAGTGTGTTGGACTGAAGTGTTCCGCCTGTTGTTGCTCGTATGACACAATCTTCTGTGTACTGACTGGTCACCAGCTAACATTTCTCTGTGCTTTCAGCAGCTCCTCCTGCTGTTGTTGTTGTTGCTGTTGTTTTTATGCGTCTTATTGTTACCTGTTTGTTAATCTATATGTGGAGCTCACAGTGTGTTGTCACCACGCCACAGCACGCTGTGTCGGCTCCGCCCTGCCACCTTCCACCTCCCCCACCTCATCCGCCCATGTCATGTGATGTTGTCTTCTCCTATCAGAGTGGTGTCCTAAAGCACAACACGCTCACGCTGGGCATGCTCTGTCAGGGCGGGGGTTACGGCCAGGGGCGCAGCAGCACTTTGAACTTTAACCTTTACAATAACACTAAGCATGAGCCCCCTGCTGGCCGCTGGCTGCCACTACCTCCTCCTCCATCTGCTAACGCCGTGAGTATCCCTCTGAGAACAATCCAACCCTGGTACTGTTCTTGTTACAGCTCACGTAGGTAATTACAGAGAGTAGCTGCCACTGCCTCCTCACCCTACGACAGCTGCCATCAACTCTTATTGAAGCCAGCGCTGTCTCTGTCCTCATAATTCATATTATTAACTCTAACTACGTCACATGTCCTCAGCAGCACTCAGTAAACAGGCTCTGATGCACTTTTTTTGTACATTGAAATCCCATGTATTTTATAATGTCCTAGATATTACAGTATTACAGTAGTACCTCTATCTTTGTCATATGTGTCTCTGATGTTATCGTACTGTTGTTGTTACTGTCTCTGTGAACTCAGTGGTGTCGGCATACTGTACATCCCAGCCCGCGTGTCCATGTGGCCCCTCACATTCACAATTTGGTCCACACAGATAGAACGCCGGCCTGACAGGAAACATACGAGAAACGACAAATCCATATAGAGTTTCTTTAGTGTTGACTTCCTGTAGGATCTCTCAGTTTGGTTAAACGGTTCCTCGTACTTTGAAATAACACATTTAATACATGAAGTTATTTTCCAAATATAAATTAACTGCAATTGAGTTTGGTTAATACATGAAGTTGTTTTCCAAATATAAATTAACTGCAATTGACTTTAGGCTGGCTAAGATGTTGTTATCAGTTTAGTTTATTCCGGGATCTTTTCTGTTTTAAATTCACAAATGTAGTTGCAAAACACTGGAGATACCAGGGTGGCCTTGATATTACCAACGATGTATAATTATTATGATTTTATAGATAATAAATACCAAGGTCACATATCGTCAAATCACATACTGTAGCGCTAAATGTTAGCAGCGATAAAGCTAAAATATCAAAGACGATCATATATTTTTATTACTCATTTATGATTCATTAATTTAAAAGAATTCAATAAAAGCCTCACTGTTCCTCTCTGTCTCTCAGACCCCGTCTCAGCAGGCTGCCATGCTTGACAATGACCAGGAGGTGGTGTCAGGGAACAACCAATGGACTCCCTACTCTCTGGGCAGGAGGGACGTCCCACCTGACAACCTGATGAAAAAAGTGATTATCGTCCAGTCTCTGTTTTTGAGTTTGATGAAGGTCTTTGTGTGGAGAAATTGTAGTTTTCGATGTCATTTAAAAAAAAACACATTTTTCTCATTCCACAGGGTGCCCACTCCCACAATCCTTCACACCAGGCACACAACACCATGATCAACACCATCACTTCTTCCTCCTCCTCCTCGTCCACTCCACCTCATCGAGTGGTGGGGCAGCAGGGCTACGAGCAGATGATGAACAAGGGGGGGCAGTACCAGCCGGGGATGCCCCTGTCAGTGGTTCCTGCTGGAGGACCGGGACAGTATCAGAGCAACATGTCTCAAGGTAGAAATCACCGTAAAAAGTGTTCATTAACCCTTTACAGACTGATAACAGAAGGTTTGACCAGCTCCCCTTTTCCCATCCAGCCATTCAAGCCCCTGTCCAGGCGTACCCCAGCAGCGGTCTGCCCATGGCCATTTCTCCATCTGGAAACCAGTCCCAGTACAACCCCCACGCCTCCCACGCCTCCCACACATCCCACCAGCCCTCTCTTCCGGCCACCAACCCCCAGTACCACGGCAACCAAGGCATGGTTCACAGCAACCAGGTAGTGGTGACCACCCACACCAACCCCCGGCCTCAGAGCGCCCGCAGCCTGCTGCAGACCAAAGGCCAGAAGAGCACAGACGGTTTCCAGGAGCAGGTACCTGTGAGTGTGTTTGTCCACCCACCTGTCTGTCTGTAAACCACAGTCCACACGGGCAGGGAGCTCTGTTTACTGTGAGCCGTACTGGAGGGTAGCTGTGTTGATGTGAAAACGTTACTTCACCTTTTTCCGAGTCCACAGTGATTACCTCACTTTTGGAAACCTGCAGCTGTACCTCGGCCCAGTTTCACAAATTAGAGCTTTGAATACACAAGTCAAGTCACAGCTTCTTGGACCTTCCTCCCTGGGGGGGAGGGAGTCAGAGGGGGGCATTAGCCACAGAGTAAGATTAACTCCAAGAGTTAATTTAAGCCCAGAACCAGTGGCTCTGAAACTCCAAACTGAGAACAGAACTTTGAAAACAGTGGTCTCTTCAAGTACCAGTTTCAGCTAAGTGCTAGTAACAAAGAAGTGTAGTAGCCTATACTGTACATCAGCCAAGCCACAGTGTACTATGTAGTAACACTACAACTGGCACTTGTATTGAATACTGAAACCACACACACACACACTGGTTCTTGTTTCAGTGGGTTCACGTCTGCCAACCCTGGTCCCCTCAGGAGACCGCTGCAGATCAACTGACGTTAATTCTGTCCCTGAGAAGAGTCTGACTTCTTTTTCTTCAGTTCTAGTTTGGAACATTGACTGCACAGTTTTCGACTCCTCTATTTAACGACCACAACTATTTTGCCTATGCCAAAAAAATGGAAAAAAAAATTATGTATCTAAATCGGCTCCATGTCTAAATTCTCCTGTCTGTGCAATATGTTGGAATGCTTGATAACCAGTGCATCCACTAGGAGGCGTACCTCACTCCTGTGCTGCTTTTGGACTTTTGGACCTTTGAAACCCAATTCATGTCCTATTTCATCAGTGTCTTCAGTGAGGGGAACGTTAGTTATCGTAGTTGTGAACACATTCACTGAGTCTCACTTCACACAGTTCTGTTCGGTTCATCGTCTTCTTCTTCTCTGTTCCTTTCTGGTCACATGGTAAACTGTGCAACACCGCCCCCATGATTTGTTCTCTAGTACAGCTTTGTTTTCTGCATTGGTGTACGCATCTGTAAGTGTTTTCCTAAATCTGTGGATATGATCTTAAGTTGTTCCTTCCTTCCTTCCTTCCTTCCTTCCTTCCTTCCTTCCTTCCTTCCTTCCTTCCTTCCTTCCTCTCCTCTCTCTCGGTCACTCTCTCTCTGTCTTCTTTTCCCTGCAGTTGTGTGTGAGAATAGAGAAGAACCCTGGTCTTGGTTTCAGTATCTCTGGTGGCATCAGTGGCCAGGGGAACCCCTTCAAGCCCTCCGACATGGTACGACCCGACCCGGCCTCCCAGCCAATCACGGCCTCTGCGGCCTTACCTTAGGGTTGCCATGGAAACTGCTGCTGGTTGCTGCAGTGTTTGGTGCTGCTCTGTTTGTCTGTTTCTCTGTGGGCCAGCAGACTTTGTTAACTCTTGAGTTATCTGGGCTCTTGTACCAAAGCCCACGGGAGTAGATTTGCAGTGGAAATGAGGCCCTGGCTTCACAGAAGAGCTGGAAATGTGTCTCAGTCAGTTGTATTTATACAGATGTTTACAGACACAGACATCATCACTTGGAAATAGTTTTGGGACACAAAACTCCCCCTCATAGATAGAGCAGTTTGCACATTTATACATTTTATAACAGTGGCATAACCTCTCATTTACTGACGTACCACCAGCTGGGCCAGACATGGGCAAACTACGGCCCGTGGGCCAGACACAGCCCGCTCCGTATTCTAATTCGGCTGATTTAATTCCCTCTGTTTCATTCATTTGAATTAATTGATTGTAATTTCAGTTGATGCCAGTAGATGGCGGTGGACATGAAATGTGCCAAATTTCCATTTGAAGGTTTGACTCATTTTGTACATCAGACATCCAACCAGTACTGAACAGGACCATCGGTCACATTGTGAATCTCATTTTGGTGAACTAAAAACTTTGCCCATTCACTGATGGTATTTAGTGACATTATTGGTTCTTTTATAACAATATTTTCACACTTTAATGCAGCGATGTGAAATGCTACAGATTTCACTCGCCGCTCCACATTTTAATGTGGAGAAGCCGAGTTATTGGCGAGACAGCTGGCCTTAAAATAGAAGGCACACCAGGCAAGAGCAGTTGTTTGATGCAGCAGCCTCCGAGCACGTCTGGGAAAATGTCAATTTGATGTTTAATTATAGTCTTAAAAAATAAAAAGTGTCACCTGACGTAATATCTAACTCACTTTGTATTCACCGTGTTCCCACGAGCTGCAACAAACATTTTCAATCATTTCTCAGATGTTTCTGTATAATCACATAACAAAGCACATCCCTGGAGGTTAACCAATCAAACATATTTATTTGACAGGTTTAGAACCAACAAATAAATGCATATTTTAGTTTAATATTTCTAAGGTAATGTGGTATGATGCAGTGTTAGGGTCAACCACATCTTATTATATATTACAGAGGCTTTTAAAATCTGCTGCTTTTTTATGACTGATTCAACAGAACTTTAACCTCAGTTTAAGACATTTTTTTTCTGAAATATGAGATTAAAAAATAGATTTTCCTAAAACCTCATCGCAGCCCACACAATACTGGTTAGAAAAAGAAATAGTGACCACTTACCAGAATGAGTGGTTGGTGTTATAGTTACAGGTTTTGCTGCAGTCTCACGTCAGCTGCCACCTCACAGTGACAGCCTGTGGTTTGGTTTTCAGCTCAAAACCAATCATTTTTTTAATTATGATTATTTAAAACATACTTGAAAACATTTCCTGGTTTCATTTCATATTTAATCTAACGTACGTTAGCACTCCAGGCTTTTGAAGGCTGTAGAAGAAATGGTTTTATTTCTTTGTGAATGACATTTACCTCCGAGGTGTGATTTTACTGAGTATCCGTGACTCATGTGTGAGTCTCACGGTCAGACAGTGAGTGGAGACTCACAGTCTGTGGTAACAGGAAAAAAAAAACCTGATGATGTTTTTTTTTCAGGTTGTATTTTTTGAGCAAAATATAATAAGGAGGAACAGAAAATTGTTTTTTTTTCTTGGTCATATTTCGATCTTCACTCAATCACAAAAAAAAAAACGAATTCTCTGCTCCTCATTTTGCCAAATGTTTGCTGTCTTTACACGCTGAGCTGCTGGTGATAACGAGCACAATGCTAACGAGAAGTGTGTGAATACAAGAAGAATTTCCAGAAAAGTTGGTACACTTTCTAAAAATCCATTAAAAACTAAAATACGTAATTAGACAAGAAATGCAATCCTTTATTTAACAGGCAAAAGAAACTATTTTGAGGATTTTGTTGGGTCAGCTTTATTACGTTGAGTGCTGTATGGGCTGTGAGGCTGCTTCAACCTTTTGCTGCTTCAACTTCTCACTTCCAGTGGTTTCGTAGTCTAGCAGTCTTCACGCCTGTCTGGGGTTCGATTCCCCGTGGAACCAAAACCTTGGCGCCTCCTGTGGAGGCCTGTGTGGGTTGCAAAGACTCACGCTGAATTTCCCCACTGTGAGACAAATAAGGGACAGAAATATTTTCCACTCACTTGCCTCAACCACTGCCTCAATAGGTTCTTGTTTATACTCGCATTAAAAACACAGTTTTTTAATCTACTTCACCTCTGCAGTGCCTCTATAGGCTGTAAAGGAATTGCAGGCCCCGTGTTGAACCACTGCCTCAATAGGTTCTTGTTTACAGAATCTAGTGCCTTTTTTTTCTTTTGCCTGGTAACAAAGGTTCAACTGGATTATCACCAACAAGTGAGAGTTTATTTTGCATATTGAGGAGGTGTACCACTTTTTTCTGACCGTTCTTCTTGTACATGTTATCACTAAACCTCAAAAACATCATACATGTGATTTGCTGTCATTTAATAATATTGTTAAAAGGAGATCAAACTTATAAAATATTCATTTCTAAAAAAAATACAAAATCTAAAGACCTGTTCTTTGATGGAGAACGCTTTAGCAGGAAGCTGCAGCTCAGTGTGCACGTGCTTTGGCGTCTTTTTAATGTCACTAACGCTACACAAGCTTTAGCCGCTAACACACACATGTTTGACATACAGTGAGCTCTTTGCATGTCTGACCAAAAGAAAAACCTCAGATAACCTATGTTAAAATGCAAATATTCTTCACTTTTTGTCTGAAAAAAAAAAAATCCCACATTAACGTGTGTCCACACATGTAGGAGACTCACTGTATAACAGCTGGTGCTACTGTGACCCCCTGACCTCTGCACCTCCTGTGTGTTTGTTCCTGTACCGGGTCACAGACTGTAGTGTGTTGACACCACTACTGTACGTCGTGCTGTTCTAACTGACGTGACGTCTGGAGGACACATCAGTGTCTCTGAAGCTCACCACTGTGTGTCCAGTCCATTCAGCCGCATCATGTCCCACTTTCTGTGTCCAAAAACATCTTTCAGCTCCCGGTGAAAAGATGTTGGTGTTTTTACAATCTCTGCCTTGGGTTATTAATGAAAAACAAGGAGGATGGAATATCTGCCGCCCTCCCTGCAACCTACGTCTGTCCTCCCCCCCAAAAAAAACAGAACCCATCCAACAACTCTTCCTTCTTCCCTATTCTTTATATAATTACTGTCTATTGACTTGTTTTCTCTATTTCTACCATCAATTCTATTCCTCCATTGTGGTCTTAGCTGTGAAATGGCTTAAAAAATATTTTTAATTTATTGACAGTATTCATTCAGGGGAAAATATCTGGTGCTTCTAACCAATTACCTTCAGCGCTTTTAATGGCGCTCATTCTGCCATTAGAGTTAATAACCAGTTCTTAATGAGCATGTTTCAGTCATTTGCATGCCGTCCAAATTCAGAAACAAAACATCTGCCTGGGTGAAATGGCCTGACGTATAAAAATGTGATTAATTCTGTGGGGCTGTGGGTGGGTGGATGATGATGATGATGAGAGGAAAATAAGAAAGGCAAAGATTCTAAACCATCGTGTCCCTGTGTTGTCCTAACGGTGTATCATTTTGACTTATAGGGTATCTTTGTTACTAGGGTACAGCATGACGGGCCCGCCGCCTCTGTCCTGCAGCCTGGAGACAAGATCCTGCAGGTAACAGCCTCTCGAACAGAGCAGAAAGCACCACACTGCGTCCACCTCTGAGTCCACGACCCTCACCTTTTTTTTTAATTTACCAAAGTTGAGGGAAAAAAACACATTTTGCAGTTTGTTTGTTTTTTGTTTTTTTAATCACCTTGACTTTTTTACATAATGCAGGTTCTACACATCCCTTAGCTTGGTGGTTCCCAAAGTAGGGGGCGGGCCACTCTCAGGGGGCACAGAGCTGTTGCAGTAGGGCCAGTCAAGACAAATTATTTCAGTTTTTTTTCTCACACTTACACACAAACATATCTATATCAAATAATTTTATCTCACACACCCCCTAGTGGCAGCTCCACACTTTGCCTTATGGCTTGTTTAGGAGGCCATATTTGCTCACCTCTACAAAAAACCAACCAGCCCCAAAGCGTGATGCTGCCACCACCTGTGGTCATCATACTGTAGTTTAGTTTCTCCTTTTGAACAGATTTAAACGTAATGCTGTGTTTTGTTCTTTTCCTCGTCTAAACTTTGACGTATTTTGACTCTTCAGTCTTCAGTAATTCACTGATGTGTTCAGGGTTTGTCAAAAAATCTGAATCTTCCAGAATCGTTTAAAAAGCAGTCGGTGAGCGTCAACAGTCACTCTGTCGTATGCACTTCCTGTGTCTGTTATGGTGCAACAGAAGCTCTCACCTGGTTTTCCTAAAAGCCCGTTTTTGTCTTTGCCCCCCCCCCTTCTCTCTCTACAGCGTGACTGTGTAGCTCCTCCTTCCCTCCTTCCTCCTCTTCTTCTCTCTTTTCCCCAAAAGTGATGTGTGACTGAGATAGTGATGGCAATGACCCCCCCTCCCCTTCATCCTTCTACAAACACACTCACATTGCGTGTTTGCCTTGCAGGCTAACGGACATAGTTTTTTACACATGGAGCATGAGACGGCCGTCTCTCTGCTGAAGAGTTTCCCCAGGATAGTGGACCTGATGGTTCTGAGGGACAGCAGCATGCGCTAAACGTAGTTCTTTTTTAAACAAACAAACAAACAAACACAACAAACACAACAACAACAACAACAACAAAGCTTTCTCCCACTGCTCTTCCTCATCCTGCCTCAACCCACCTGTGCTCTGCCGGAGTGTGGAACTGAGAAATGAGCCGCCTTTTTTACCCTTTTTAGGAGAAAACACACAGACGTTTATTTGCCTATTGCTGGACCAAAGGCAAATACCAGTGCCAAATGTACCATAGGAGACATATCTTCTCGGCTCTTCTTTCTATTAGCAGTCGCGGGACATTTTCGCCGTCGGGATGGACCGGAGGAGGACTCGGCGCTAGGAGTCCAGACATGGCTGCTGCAGTTTGGAATTATTATTGTTATTTTAATTATTATTATTATTATTATTTATTTAAATGGAATTCTGTGATTGGTTTAATTTGACAGTCATGGATTAGTCCGTTTGAGTAGATTCTGTAGTTCCTGAGGGTTCTAGGGTTTAAGGAGTGTTGTTGCTCGTCCTCCACTGCTTTATACTGTGTTTCCTATTTATTTATTTATTTATTTATTTATTT